TACATAAATAAACTCATTTATTCCCTACAACAACCCTTTCAGGACAGTACCGGTATGTATTTTTCAGACGAGGAAGTTAAAGCACACAGAGAGATCTGATAACCAGCCCCAGGTCACATAGCTAGAACATAATGGAGCCAGAATTTGAACCCAGTCTGGCTCCAGGGTATTTGCTCCTAGATTACAATACTGATGATCAACTTTTGTAACTTTTCTCCCACAGAAACATTTATTTTATAAATTATGAAAAGCATTGTTTAATGTGGACAATGACATCAATGCTCAAAGTCACAAAATACAACTGTGCTATAAGGAAGTACCACAGAAAGACACCTTGGATCCTGAAAGCAGGAGAGCAAGAGTACCCTGAATCATTCATGCACCAAATTCCATTAAAAACACCTGACTGGTACAATGCAACTTTTAGAATGAATTTTCCAAATATAAAGCAAATAATAAGTCTCAGTCAGACTTCTATTATTTTAAATGTTTTAGGTGACACACTTCCTCAATCCTTCATACATTTTATTTTAGTCAATTAAACCACAAAAGTGATACAAGCTTTTTAAAATATAAAGTATATAAAGCAAAAGTGAGTCTCCCTCCCTCACTCTCACCCTCCAACTTCACCTTCTAATGTAATGACTATTAATTTAATGTGTATCTTTTTATACCTTTCCTTTAATTATGCAAACAGTTATTAAAGGCACGCCAAATTACTGTGCTTTAAAATTGAAAATAAGAAAAAAATCAGTTGACTATAAACTAAAAAGCATATTTTAACAGGCTTGTCATTCAAAGAAATCTTATAAAAGCCTCAGTTCATTATAATCAAGTATCTACAACATAGATTGTACTTTAATTCTCAAAGTGACAATTATTCCTTCACTTTACACAATCAACAGAAAGGCTAGCTTCTGTAACACATATACAAGAAGCCAATATCTGGATTTCTGGTCTAAAACAGAATTCTTATCTGAAAAGCAGTATTATACCTTTCAGAATCAAAGTCAAACTCTCAGAATGGCGATGCTAGATGACAGCCCAAGAGGTCTCAAACAAGGTATTAAAATCACCCCCCCCCCGACACACACACCCAAAACAGAAAAAACTGAACCAAAAAAAAAAAAAAAACCCCAGCAAATGTATAAATACAAAAATGAGAGACCATCCCTGCCTGAGGTAAGAGTAAAGTTGAATTGCATAAATTCTCTTAGAAGATAAGAGTGTCAACATATATTGCAATTAGGTAAGACTCATGAGAAGTCAATGTCTATCCAGTGACAGAATCCTAGCAAAACAATTCACCTTCTGTAAAAATCAGCAATGTCTGATTGTGATTTTTTTCTTTAAATCCAACGTAAAATGTTTTTATTTGGATCAAAAGCTGTTGTTCCAGTGACAAATGACCTTTGTAGAGGATATACAGAAAGTGAACACTAACATAGAAAATATTTTTGTATCTGCTTTGCCTTATTTTTCCTCCTCTTCACAATACATGATTCTAGATAAGATGTGGAGAAAGAATATGACTGAATTGGTATAGTTAAAATTCACTTCAGATTTCATAAGGGCAACCTACTGAGACTCAGGAAGGGAGGTTCTCTTGACTCTTCAACTTGGTAAGATAAACATGAAAGACTATCCCATTATTACCACAATGTAATATATTCTGTGTATTTAAAAGTACTAAAACCTCATTCAATTCAGAACAGTGCTGGTGAGCACCATATATATATATATACACACATAGTTGTCTATATACTACGTGTGTGTGTGTGTGCGTGTACAAGTTCTTTAAGTCCAAAATTAAACCACAAGTCTGTAGTTTGGATGGGTAGTTAAGGGATGATGAGAGGAACATTAACTTAACCCAGCAGTTACTACCAAGCTCTTTACTTTTAATGGTTCATCCACTCAAGACAACCTTACTGAACATCTACTATACACCAGGTCACGGGACGGGTCCCAGGAATTTAAGAGCAAAGGAGATGTACAGTAAGATGGAAGATGGACCCCAAAGGAGTGGACAAGAAGCCTGCAAGTATCAAAAAGACGTCCCGCTGTTGAGTTTTCCTCCTGGCAAGTCTAATGAAACCCCTCCAATAGTAAATCAGTTACTCTGCAATGTTTAGTAATTGAATTAAGATCATGAGATTTCACGAATTCATTCACTGGTTGGACACCTCCATGTCTTGGGCTCTGTGATAAGAGCTGGAAACACAAAGGGAACAAGACATGGCTCTTGCCTTCATGGGGTCATCACATTGACAGGCAAATACCAGCAAGGATAAGGTGGCATGGAATCACAAAGAAAGAACACCTAACCTGGTTTTAGGGAGGAGGTCTCCCCAGAAAAGTTATACCCAAGTTAGTAACTCAAGGGAGAGGTTCTCTTTGGGCTTTCAAAATGGAATTCCATTTAAAATATGTAATTTCTAGCCAATGATTCAAAAGCTTCTTCTTGCACTGAGTGAGTGACAACGTGAATGAGGTCCCCAGCAGAAAAATTCTCCAATTTTAAGATGTATCCGAATTACCTGGGATCTTGCTTAAATGCAGTTTCTAAACAACACGATTGTGGTGGGAGCTGAAATTCTGTATTCTAACCAGCTCCCAGGAGATGCGGAGGCTGCTGGTCCGGGGACCACACCTGGAGTAGCCAGGCTCTGGTTTATAACGGCCCCTGGCCAACAGATGTGTTGTGTTTGGCTGGTGGAGTAGTCCAGAAAGTCTCTGTTAGTTGGCAACCTGTAAAAATCAGGAGCTTTCTATAAAATATAAGCAGGATTTTCAGCACTTTTTGAGAAATTTACATCAAACAAAGTTGGCCCTAAATCTCCTCGAGGCAGAGGCGGGTAGAAGCCTGTGGTCTTGGGTTCTCCACAGCGGCCTCGCTCCCACAAGAGCTCTAACCTCCGTGACTTTACACGCCTTCCTCCCCCTCAGGTATCCAGCAGCTTGAAAAGTGTTCACACCCACCCAACTCACCCAACGTTCTTCCAGGAGCAGCCTGCACACCTGGCAGGAACGGGCACCATTAATTTATATAACGAGAAAGGACCAACAGCCCTTTATGGAAACAGTTCAGGCTTCTGCTGCCAAATTCATCTGGCTTGGCAAGTGCCTAAACGACTCCAAGGTGGCCTTGCAGTCCAGCCCATTACAGAGATAACAGGGCATCGACGGAGGACAGGCACGGACGGTGCAGCCGCGTGGCTGCGAGGCTTAGATGCCAGCGCGGGGTGCAGCCCAGGAAATGCTCAATTGGCTGAGGCTCCTAAGAGCCCACTCGCATCCTTTAAGATGTCAGCACCTGAACACATCTGGAAACACTTCTCAGACTCAAGTCTTAGCCAGAAGCGGGGGAGGGACTCCACCTGGAGAGGAGTCTGTGTTGGCAAGCGTGTGGATGCGGGCAAGCGGACAGACCACACGTCTTCTCATTGTGGAATAGTAATCTGCCCACTGGCACTTGGCTATTTTTACATTTGAATGATGTCTCTTCATTTGGATGAGATAGAAACGTTCCGCTTCGTGGCTCAGGCTTCTACACAATCTCCAAAAGCCCTCTTGAGACATCCCTGCCATCCACGTATTAACAGACAGAGCGAAATGGACTGATATAAATTTTAGTAACAATTGATGAAAAGTACACTGGGAATCACTTACTCTTTGGTGCTTCTGATGCCTGATGCATCTGTCATTTCTCATAATGAGCAAGACCTATGAATATTGTGGTAGGACTGGAATTAAGGCTTGTGAAAAATAACAGCGTTGGACAAGTCCCTTCTGTTCGTGACTGCCACCATGCTTCTTCTTGTACATCATTTTTCTTTACTAGGGTCACATCTGAGCCTTTCTTGGATTTGAGCCTGTCTTTACCTGTCACTGCGGAAGCGTTTGACCAAAATTTGCATTTTCATAGAATCGGCAGTATGAGATGGAGTAAACATTTAAAGTAAAATCTTTGACAAGGAATAAACGCTGAAAGCAACCAGAGGAAAAAGATGGAGCTTAGAGCACACGCACATTAACACACACACACACACAGTCATATTAATTTTCGTGAAAATGAGGAGGATCTGGGAGAGCTCATATCCTCTTGACACACACATAGTTGGAGAATATTAAGATAACCCAGTTTTGCTGTTTGTTTGCTTACAGTATTTAAATCCCAATTTTTAAAGCTTTCCAGATAATGGACTTTGGCATAAATACATATACAGAAGAAGCTGCTCTAAAAACATGGTCCAACACTACAGGGCAACCCAAGTTGAACCAAGTTGCCAGTTCCTCTTCAATTACTACCAATGATTCTTAATCATATGGCCTAGGAGTGAATGTCACTGTATGAAACCCAATACTTTACTCTTCACAGCTGTGACTAAGTGATCATGTGCCCATCTGGTCCACGTTCCTCTTCCATTCTAGACTTGAAAAGCATAAAACAGCAAGACCCACCTTTATCCGTGACTGTCATCCCAGATTTCCAAAGCATCTGGTACATACTAGGCACTGAAATATTTTTTGAAATATCACTGAATGAACAGAGATTAAATGAGTGGATAAAGCTGGACCAAGAAACAGTGACTGATCTCAAGGAACTTGAACTCAAAATGGGAAAAGAGAAACACAGATTCTCTATTGCCATACTTAAGGAAGGCACTGAGACACTGACACTGAGCACTGACAAGAGTCAGGAGCCAACATACCAGGATTTTAAGAGACTCTAGCTAATCAGGAAGGTTCTCCTGATCCAGGAGAGAAGAACTGTGTGTCAGACCCTAATTATCATCACTGTGTTTTTCAAGTGCCAAATGCAAACTTGGGAACTTGAATGGGGAACTCCAGTCAAAATGAGGAGGTTGACATTTTTCAAGATTCACTAAATCATCGCTCTTGTTTTCTTCAATAGTTTTTCAAAGCTCCCAGCATTAAAATATTCTGAGCAGCAATGACTACATCTGGAACTTTAATGAAAATCTTAAAAGGTTGACTTGACTCTCAAGTGCTTTAATAACAGCAATGCGGCCCGAGCGAGCGCTCCAGAAGGGAGTGTGCAATTCAAAAGCAATTCAAACGCAAGGTGGATGGGTCCCTGAGAAAGGAAGAAAATCATGTGTCTTGGTGTGTTGTGAAAATTTACTACATGTGCAAAAAATCGGCTGGCTATCAACTCGGCATGTATCATTTGAAAGAATCTTTCATTACTCAAACCTGTCAAATGTGGGTACATGTATTTCAGGAAGAGATGAAGAGATTGGCTCAAGCACAGAGGTTTTAATTCAAATCCTGAGCAGGAAGGTAACGGTTTTAACTTCTGAATTTCTTTCAAGGGAATAGGATCATATTTAATAACACCACCACCACAGATGGGTTTGACTTCAGGGTCCTCGCGTATATTTGCCCCAAAATGTTCTTTTACCCCTAACTATAAAATAAAGCCATTTCCAGTAGAGAAGGCCTGAGATGCCTGGGTGTGAATTCCACACAAAATTCCCCTTGCCTTTAGGGTGCTGAGAATGGCCCTCCCTAAGTGAAAAGACCACAGCAAGATCCATCAGATTACTCTCTTCCTGGAAGGTGTTAGCTCATAGCATTTTACACCTGTGAAGTAAACTTTTTCAACGTCAAAAAATAAGCTATGCAGCGTGCACCTAAAGTTCAATCCAGAAAAGCCTGTTCTGGTGGAAATATCTAAATCGGGTACCCAACGTAGCCATGTGTCAAACGGCCAAAGCTGGAGTGATAATCTCTCTTAAGCAAATGCCTTTCAAATGAATGGATACTGTAATCCAAGATGAACTCACATTTTCAAATACTGAAATGGAGGCAAAAATTCATCATCTGGGGCCATTTCTCTCATACCAATTAAGATAAGCTTCTATGAAAAGTTCGATTATGAAAAGAGGGCTGCTCAGAGCACTGGTCTCCCAACCAAGACTCAACTATCTAGCCTATCACACAGGGAGGCCTGTCTCAGGCCTTCTGTGATTGTGATCTTCAATCTTCCCTTGAACATCTATCTGTCTTTTCTCTTTCTTCAAGTTAAAAGAAGCTGGACTACACGATCCAGGCGGTCTTAACCAACTGTTAACTGTAATACGTCTCCCCTATAATTAGGCTACCCAAAGACACCATGTGGATAATATTTAACTGTTCTGATCATCTTTAATATCAAAGGGAGTTTAATGACTTGGGCCAGACTCACTAGCAGAATGACCTTAGATGTTGTGACCACACGTCAGTCAAGATATGCAAAATAAAGCAGGTCCTCATTTTAATATCTAGAAAAGTTATGGTCCCTAGGAGACAGGCAGTTCTTGGAAAGCTGCTATTTTCCAACCAGTTGAAGCGTCTTTAGAGTTAGCTGGCAAGATATTTACATTCCTTAAGAGACAAAGAAATGCAACAGCTAAGCAAGAAGCTTGGATCAGCGTGGAAGAGAGAGCTGCTGTTCCGTCACCTTTAACTTCCATTTAAGGGCCATGGGCTACCTGACCACCTAGTTATTCATTTATGAAGTCGATGACATAGGAATTATAAACAGGACTCAGGGTCTCCCAGCAGCGTTAAGGACAAGAATCCAATCCACATTCCACCTGAAATTTCTGACCATCATGCAATCTCAGGGTAGCTGACAGGTATCCTCCAAACTGCTTAGAGTGACAATTTTTTTTTTTTTTAGTGGGTAAGCATTAACCCTGGTAAGATTTATAACAACAATGAGAAATGTTTAAAAGCTCCAAACCTGCAAATCTTTATATAGTTTATGTTATGGAATCTGCACATATTTGATACTTTGATTAAAGTACATTGTAACATTTGAAAGAGTTTGCCCTATTGAAGAAAACAGGTTGCTGTGGAATTTCCAATTTAAAATGTCAGAGCAACTGGTATAGATTTATGACTTTAAACTAACATTTTAATAAAATTTACATGGACTTTTAGGATAATTAAGTCAACTTAATGTTCACCACAGTTATAAGTTTCATTTGTGAGAAGTGTAAGAATTATTAAAAGGGAAGGGGAAGGGTGTTTTCCTTGGGGAAGGAAGGGGGTAAGTCAGATGACTTAAAAAGAAACCAAATATTTTATATTTATGAATGCCTTTTAAAATGTCAAGAATTTAATTAAGTTTGTAAGCAGGGAACCGGAGATTTGGACACATGATAGAAGAATAAGGTCTGAACGCTGAAGAATTAGGTTTTGCAATTAATTGAACATTAGGTTTCAAAACCAAAGTAATCTCTAAATAATCACTTCTTAAAAAAAAAAAAAATCCTGCCTTCCATGGGCTCCCAAAAAACTCCCACATAGCCATGGAGCTACAGTGACTCCAGTGGGTTGATTCGAAGTCTACAATAGGAATTGTGCCTGATTCTTGCGTCAATGCCTCAGGGTAGCCAGGAAGTACTGAATCCCCACTACAGGCCAGGCTCGTGTTGAGCACTTTTTAGACACTATTTCTGTGTTTTACAGAGCAGCAATCCAAAGCTTAGGAACATCAAGCATCTTACCAAGATGACATGGTAATAAATGCTGAGAATGAGATCTGAACCCTATGCTCTTAACCACCAAGCATCCTGCCTCCTGTATGGACAATATCCATGAAGCCTGTGAATTTCTAGAACCTTGCTACTCAAAGTGTGGTCCACGGACCATCAGAATTGGCATTCCTGGGAGCTTGTGATAAATGCAGATTCTCAGACCTACTGAATCAGAATCTTTGAGTGTGACTCTTAGCTGCACTAGAGTTTCAGGAACACTCTTCTGGAGCAGAGAGGGGTGGGCAAACTTCTTCTGTAAAAGGCCAGCGCTTCGGGCTTTGCAGGCCCTGGGCTCTGTTGCAATCACTCAACTTTGCCACGAAAGCAGCCATTGACAATACACACATGACTAAGCATGGCTGTGTTCCCAAAATCTTTATTTACAAAAAAAAAAAAAGGCCTTGGACCAGATTTGGCCTGTGGGCCACAGCTTCCCAAGCCCTGGTCCAGAGTACAATGGCTACACCATTAAGATGGATCCTTCTCTGATTGGCTAGGAAACAACTGAATCCATTGTCCATCCTGGGAGGGAGACTCCCCACCCGTGGGTAGCAAGTAGCAGATTCCCAGGAGTACCATCTTCCAGCCTCTTCAAATACTCCCTTTTTCTGGAGGTCAGATGGTTATGCCTCAGTCGTAACATCATTTTACAGTGGGCCCAGGGTTTAAGAGGCCAGTGGGAAATTTCCCAAAGCACTTTTTCCTTTTGGTACAAAGAAGTAGAGTTAAAAGTGTTTAAATGAGTTAAGTTCTTTGGGGAGTTAAAAAAAAAAAAAAGTTGGCCTGACTTTCCAGTCAACATGATTGCGTGAATTCAACTGGCTTTTGCACATTAACAAATGAAGATGCCTCAAATTCTGAAGAATTTCTGAGCCAATTACTACATGATGATTAAATGTGTTGGACAGCAGTTCACTAACTGGACAATTATGCTCCGGAGACGTGCTCACTCTTGCATTAGGGAGCACCATATTTATTGCTCAACAGTGAGTAAAGGCTGAAAGTTCCACTGCAAAATCTCAGCTTTTCCGTCAGATGTTCCCACAAAAATCTGAACACTACACTTCAAATGAACAGTATTTTCTTCGCTTTCATTTTTCCTGTCACAAGTAAGAAAGAGGCTACTCACACTCAGCAAGCAAACTCAGCAAAGGGGGTTTAGAAGTCGGTTTTGTGAAACTGTTGGAGCCAAGTCATTTTATGCCCCTTGCTCTTTCGAGAAAATAAAAATCACGTCAACTAGGCAACTGAGGGAAAGGGTGCTTACTGGGGCTTTTAGTGGGTGATCGCCGTGTGCGAGATGCTGTGCTCCAGTCTTCCCCGGGATTGTCTCCCTGAATCCCACCCCAGGGTGATGAAGGGAGAAGTAAATACTGAGATGAAGAAACGGAGGCACAGTGAGGTCAAAGGTCATGCAGCAAGTAGTGTGGATTTGAACTCCTGGACACCAGAACCCACAATCTTTTTTTCTTTTTCAATTCTTTCCCTTTTTTGGGTGGTAGGGTGGAGATTAGGTGTACTTATTTATTTTTTAATGGAGGTCCTGGGAATTGAACCCAGGACCTCAAGCATGCTAGGCATGCACTCTACCACTGAGCTATATACCCACCCAACCCCACCACTCTTAATTAATACTTTCATTTAATTAATTTGAATTAAACAGAATTCGAGGACTGTTCTGGTAGGTTGACACTGCCCTGTCTGACCTTTGCCGAAGAAGCCTCCAATGTCTCTTCCTCCCTTCCTCCCACACACAAGACTGCATTTCGCACCCTGTACTATTGTAACACCCGGCGCTTGACCTCGTCACCTTGTGGGATAAACTGTACTGCCTGCTCTTCTGTCTTCCCACCTAAGGTACAAACCAGGGTTCTCCACCTCACAGTTTGGGGCCAGAGAGTTCCTTGTTGGAGGGGCCAGCCTCTGAGTTGTCAGATGTTTAGCACCGTCCCTAGCCACCAACCACTAGCCGCCAGGTGCAAACTCCACCCCTAACCCCCTGCCCTGGGGCGAAGGGTGGGCATGGGGGATTGCTCCTGGTTGAGAACCTCTGTTATCATTCCCCTCGAGGACAGGATTTCTGTCCAGGTCACTGTTTACCTACCCACTGTGTGACACGGGGCCTGGCACACACTAGGTACTCAACAAATATTGAAGTTCCTGTAGGATGTCTGTAGCTAAGAACACCGCTAATGTTGGTTAGATGCCTCTACGGGCCCCAGAAAAAAAATCTGAGCCTAAATCTTTTCTCTGCCATTTCGTTCAGATGTTTGGTTTCCGTGACAGCAGAAGCCATCTTTACCCCTCCTTATTTCATGCATGAGACACTGTTGATTTTATCCCCTTTTTCTCAGGTCTGTCTGTCCTCCTCATTGCACCACCACCATCCTAGCCCAGCCAGGCTGCCACAGTTGTTTGTCTGGACTATAAGATGAACCTCTTGACGGATGTTCCAGGCCTCTCTCTGGTGACCCTCCCATCTGTTCTTCCTGCGACACAAGAGAGATCTTTTCAAAACCCAAATCTATTCATTCCACTCTCCTGCTGTAGGCTCTTCAATAGCTTTCCATTGCTTATAAGACTCCTTAATGTGACCTCAGTGGTCTTCCTTGGCCAACCTCTGCAGTTACCTCCTCTCACCACCAGGGCTGCAGTTCCTTAGAAAGACCATGATCCTACCTGTCCCCTGGCCTTTGCATATGCTGTTCCATCTGTATTCCCCCTGCCTGTCCTCCCTATAGACCTCAGCCTCAGTGTTATTTTCTCCTGGTCTGGAGCAGGTACCTCCACCAAGTTACCGTGGAATCAAATTTTGTTCTTTCCTAATGTTCATCTGCATGACTACTGATCACAGAAGAGGGTAGGCACCTTGACTACTTTGGTTCTCTGTTACAGTCCCAGTGCCTGGCCCACGGTGGGTGCTGGATGGATGTTTGCTGAATACCCTTGCATAATCAACAACAATAGAGAGGTACTATTTGAAAATGCAGAGATTTTGCAGATGAGATGCACTGAAGGAAAGTGGTTCAGTGTATGAATTATGGAGTTAAATAATCTAGGTTCAAATCCCAGCTCTGTCTCTTAATAGCTGGGAGAGCTTGGATAAAATAACTTAATTTCTCTGCACCTCAGTTTCTTCACTTGCAAAGTGAGGAAAAGAGTATCTGCCTACATGATATAAGGTATATGAGTATTTA